CTTAGGCTGGTTCGGGGAAGGTTACGTCCCACACTTCATCAAGCCTTTTTTGAACAGTTCTGGCGTGGACGCCACAGACGTCTATGCGGGGAATGCGCTCCGGAAAGACGTCACCTTAACAACAACGCACTCTTTTAAGCTTAGACTTGATAAGTTTGTCGCAAGTCAGGGTGTTCTTGGAACCAGGGGAATGGAATGCCCAGCCAGGAACGTTAGATGGACCGCTTGCTGATCGTTTCAGCATAACTGACATGGCAACTATTTTAGTCTGTAGTCTAAATGCACAGCTGAAACGCTTCGATGGGTTGGCAAATTTTTATCGCCGTTTCATACCCTACTATACTACTACTATTATACAACCCCTAACCGATTTATTACGTGGTAAGTCTAAACAATTCTCGTTCACCAACGAGGCTCGCAAAGCGTTCACCGAACTGAAACAGGCTATCTCCAATATCACCGCAGTTTCCAATCACATACCGGACACATATTTGGCGCTCACAACAATTCAAGGGTGATCAAATGAAGACCTGGCATGAGGGTATGATAACTCTAACTAGGAGAGTAGGTCACATAGGCCCTGTCAGGCTCGCTGGCTGGTGATCTCGGGATGATGGTCACCGATGGTTAGAGACACTGAGTGATATGACTGGGTGTGGCAAACGATGGCTCTTATGCATCTACCCATTATTCTTGCAACCTCAGTTTATATGAATTCTCTATTTTCCTCTGGAATTTACTCTCAGCCTCCCAACTTTCATTCTGCTGTTGCATCCGACAGCAGACAGAACCGGCGCAAGAAAGTGCATGGTTAATGGTCGTAAAAACTGGAACTGAAACTACGGTGGGCTAAACAAATCATTTGAATCCAAGAGCGGTGTCTCACAAGGATGCCCCTTTTCGCCATTCAAATATAATTCCGTCGCAGACGCGGCCTTATGCGGTTCATCGCTCAAAGTTCGGGGCTTAGGTTTCCGGTTTCCATCACTGAACAGCAGGTCTTCGTGACTATGGGGTTTAACCCGTCTGCTGTTTATCACACTAAGAAATTTGTGACCCTTGGAAGATTCCCATAATGATATCAAGAGACAAACAATTTAGCGAGTAAGCTTTTTTCCGTAACTTCGTCTTCGGGATGTATGTTTATATATGCGGTAGAACTAAATATGACTGACTGGGAAAACAACAGCAATGTTTGATCCCATTACCTCTAGTGAGATGTATAAACACGTATTCTCTCAAGGTGTTGGCAACTTAAGTCCTATCATCGAACACTATACTTTACCACTGTCTCATTTTTGCACACATAACTAATGTTTGACTCGAACTTCGAACTGATCCGGATTTCTGGCGCCCAGTGGGAATTACTCACATCCCCAAAGGAACATCAAAGGCCTCAATATCGAAGCGTTTCAGGTCGATTGCTCTCTTTCACTGGTTTGAAGTTGGTGGAACGATCAGTTCTGCATCGTTTTCAGGTACCCCTTACCATCCCCGGTGATACTTTTTAGATTGCTTAGAAACATAACCGCTCTACATTGGATGCCGTTTCTTCTCTTCATTTCATCTGTAAGTTCCTTAATGAGAAAGCCGAATAAGTGCACTTTGCATTTCTTGACTATTCTTCCGCTTTTGACGCGGGGTCCCATTCTCTTTTAGTAAACAAGCTCCAATCGTTTGACTGTCCCACTTCTTGTATTGCTTGGGAATTACTTTTCACAAATATATCAGTATGTTAACCTGGGAAGAAGACAGTCAACCGCAGCACTGAATAGTTCGGGTGTACTTCAAGGTGCTGTCTTATCACCCTATCTTTTTTCGGCCTATATCAGTGACTTACCTATTACTCCCTCTGTACAACATTTTAAGTATGCTGACAATATCACCATTCGTGTCCGTATCTAACCAATCAGAACTGGTTGAATATATTACAAACCTATCCCACCTTGTTTCGTATTGCACTTCATCCGGTCTTAATCTTAATCCTGAAAAATGCCTTGAATTTATTTTTACTCTAAACCGTTCCCCATCCTCCTTCGGACAATGTACGGATTCATGGAAAGCCGATGAGCAGGGTCAGCCATGTGAAGCACTTAGGTGTCATAACTGAACGTAAACTTCGCCAGTCCTTACCCCAACTGTTGCTTGCAAATTGAAAGTTCTCTCCTTTCAGATAAGAAGACTGCGTCACGTCTGTTCCAATTGGTCGGTGATAGACGCTTTTGTTCAACAATTAGTTCTCCCTATACCCCTTTACTGTTCCCCTGTAATTTTCCCTGGTTTGCTGAAGGCTAATTTCATGTTACTGAGGCGTGGCCTCTCAATGATCAGCCATGTCTCCCAAGTTCGGTTATCTGTTATGATTGACAATATGTGTAATGCCCGTATTGATGTGTGCTTGAAGTTTGCTGACAATATCCTATCTGATTGCACTCATTCTCTAAACATTGAATTGTGTGCATTCAAATCGTACCCTTCCACTCGTACTAATTACAAGCCTATCCTGTCTCGCATATCCGCATACAGAAATTCTTTGGTACCCTATCTTGCCCGGATACTGACCGACGAGGAAAGTGTTTGTGCTGAGCTTTCTGATTCGCTTGGTAATCAACTCATTTTTTTGCACGTTTTACACTCCACTTTTTCACCTCTTTTTTTTACCAGGATTGTAACACTGGTCTATTTTTTTGACTAAAAGGTTGTATATATCTCGCTAAAGCTTCACTACAATACAATACAGACAAACCGAACCATGATCTTATACACGTCGTAATGATGCAACATGCCGTGACACGTCGCATGCGAAAAAAGTCGTTCAACATTTCCGGAATTGAACTCTTAACCCCTTACATTTCTCCATTTGCCTGTATGGAACTTGACAGAAATTGTTACTTCCCATTTAATCTCAATGGAAACCAATCGCGTTTCATGCTACCGCCCATGAAAACAAGTGTGAATGTTCGAGGTCAAATTCATGAAAACAGGCTCGTTCACCATTGTTTTGTCTTTTAATTTCGTATATCATTTCTTACTATCAGTTATTACTCTTTTAGGTTGAATGTTCTCTCCGCGCATAGACGTTTCTCTCCCTCTCTCGCTCCCTCGTCGGATTCCATGAAAGCACTGCTCCCGTCTGAGGTGTTTTATTTTGCCTCACAGGCACAAAGTAATATTTACAATTTGACTTATGTGAAGTCGGAGCACAAGGAAGACGAATCACAGAGTAGTAGTGGCTCGTCTCAATTCAACATATTGGTTGCTTACTATCGACCGGGTATGTCAATCACTGTTCATCTTATTCTCTGTCTGTCTGCATTTGTCGATCTCCAGCGGCCGACCCGTTTGCAAACAAACAATGCTGTTTGCTGCATCGGTTTTCTTCCGATGGCTCCACCATCAAAACGGTGACCAAAAACATGGATTTCGTCTATCTGCCTGGTAAGAATATATGTGGTCCGGTCATTGTTGATAAACTTTGTTCTTTCCTAGGTGCATCAGATATTGTCTGCATAGATGCTCTGTTTGACCAAGTCAATAACGAGTACATTGTGGGTATCGGGTTTGTAAAGGTGAGCATCTCTTCGGGGGTAGAATACTGTTGTCGTCAATTGAACAGGATGGAGACAAAGGATATCTCAATATATACGGGGCTTATTCACTGGACAAGCTGTCTGGTAGGTCTCGAATTTGCGTCACTTGTGATCAGACTGGCGTGTTCTCTTGAATCCCTTTTCAGAGTGTTGCCTGAGTTTTTCTGCATTATCCTGTGTACCGTTGCAGTTGACTCATTCATAGTAAGTGTATGCGAAAGCCAGCCTTATGTATAAGCAATCCAAATATGCAAATGTGAAATATTTCATTCAAATAAATAAAAAAAGGAATCCGTTAAATTGGGGGTATGTCTTACGAGTGCATTCGTTGTTAGTTACGACCTGAGAAGCGATTAACTATAATAATAGTAATAATAATAATAATAATAATAATAAATAATAATAATAATAATAATAAACGTTTTACCTCAATATGTTTGGGAGTGATTGCTTCAGTAAACAAATCATTTCGTCCATACTTCTCTCCAAACGTCGCGTAATGACTGGTGTGCATAGACTACTCATCCGTTTCGTGACGAGGAAGAGGCTTTCACAGAAACGAGAGGACAAAAAGGCAGCTGATCGAAGTTGTAGGATCAGAGATTGTAGGGTCATCATGACTACAGGGTCCACTGCTGTTCACACTGATGTGTGTGTATGTAATGAAAAAAATTGCCCCACATGAACGATTTTCCACTCTACTAATCGCATTCTTTTCGTGCACGTTTCTTAGATAAGTATCGCATGGTATTCTTGTTCGAGATTTACTCTCTTCAAATGATCATTTCTGGGGGTTATATTTTTCAACCTCACCCTTTCCCCCGTTTTATTCTATCCGTGCGCTAAAGCTACATATCACCAACCACGTCGAAGCTTCAATGGGCTTTCATTCTCTCTTCAGGCAACCCGTTCAGTGAATTTGTTCCGTCTGGATCGTCTGGTTAGTCACTGTTCGATTTGGTTTCGCATTTGTCCTCTCACGGTCTGTTTCGTTTTTCTGCCACAAAATTGACAAAATTCGCAATCTGGAATGTTATACAATCGTGTTGTACTGTCAGATGTGACTAACTATTTCGTCCGCTCTAATTGGTATGGCGCCAGAAAGTCAAGGGTGATCAAAATCAAACCTGGCTTGAGGATATAAAAAAACACTAAACAAAGAAACTTGATCATGTAGGTCGCGCGTTAACCTCCCTGGATGGTGTTAACCGGGAGTTACAGATACCCAGTGACACGGCTGAGTGTCGTAAACAGTGGCGTTGATGCATCTCAATTTCTTTACAATCTTAATCTGTTGAAGTACTCCATTTTCTGTTTGACTCTACATCAGATTTCCTATCTTTCTCTTGCCGGTTCATCCAAATGGGCAGTAAAAAGAGAGCCACCGAACCCGGTGCACGCGAGTGTATTGTGAATTGTTCTCTCCAATCCACATAAACGAATAGCGTCAGTATCCGGAGTTCTTGGTAGAAATCGAATCAGAGCTACGAATCATACGCGGAAATAGGTTCCCACAAATTTACTGCTAGTGTATTCTGCAATGGGGAGAGCGTTAAGTTCAGTTCGCTTTAGCTTTTGCAACTAAAGTCCATACACTTTCGTGCGACGATTTTGTTTGCTGTTTTTCTGCCCGTTGTAACTGAAAAAATCGAGCGAAAACTGGAATGTTCAAGGCCATGTAAAGGTTTATTTTGTTTTGTTTATATCCTAGTCTTGTAAGCGGTGCTGTATTCACCGGGGAACGCGAATTACCGAAACCGAAGCAGTACCCAAGTTGGAGCAATATCCTCCCTCACCGTCTCTCGTTGCGTGTTTAACAGAAACTTGGGACAAGAACAATCGGTATAGCGAATCAAGTCAGCGAGAAATAATCTATTTTAAGCGGATGGATGGAAACCGAACATTGCCGTAGCACAAGCCCTAGTGATTCCACCTTGGCTGCTTCTGCAGCCGAAATGTTTACAAACAAAACGAATATAATTGTTTACTGCTTGAATTCTCGTCTGAATCGTCCAGGTTTTGGCTACAATGACATGATTACTGGTGATGCATCAGGTATGGTTGTTATGGTGGGCGAATATTGGCTGGTTCATAATCTAGCCATCAATATTGCTTATCAAAGCTCCCGAATTGAAAAAAAGGCAGAACATGATTCGCAAATACCAGAGAGATAGAGAGTGTACCGATTCAGTTCTGACTTACTGTTCCGTTTTCGTTCATTAAGGGGAGTGTTCTGCACTCTCTGGTAAACAAATGAAAGAAATCAAGCTATTCTCGATGAGTGCGTTGTTTGATTCGTGTAAAGATCAGTCAAGGTTTCGAACTCTTTCGTTATGAGAGTATGAAGCGTGATAAGTTTATGACCTGAATTCTCTTCTTCTCTTTCATTCTACTCTCTGTCACTCTCAGTACTGCTCTACGGTAGAGAGACTTAGCCACTACGGGAATAGGATAAAAATAGATTGTCGGTGTTCGAACACCACTGTCTACGTCGCATTGCACGAGTCTGGTGGGGGAACCGGACTAACACTGCTGAGGTTAGGCGTAGAGTTTTAGGCAGTCGCGGTCGTCTACTAGAGCAAGTGGTCGACCTCCATAGATCACGTTGGTTGGGGCATGTGTTACGCATGCCACCCAATAGTTTGCCACGGTGAGCGATGTTTGCCTAGGCAATTAGCGATTGGAAAAAGTTCAATGGTGGTCAAATGAACACCTGGCATGAGGGTATGAAAACCCTAACCAGGAGAGTAAGTCACATAGGCCCCGTTACGCTGGGGACCTCGGGATGATGGTCACCGATGGTTAGAGACACTGAGTGATATGACTGGGTGTCGCAAACGGTGGCTCTTATGCATCCCCTCAATATTCCCCTAACATCATTCTATACGAATTTTCCATCTTCCGTTTTAATTCGCTTTTAACATTCTAAGCTTCTTTCTGCTCTTTTAACCGAATGCGCGGCTACTGGAAAGCAACCAAAGTAACCGCACTACGGTGCAAAGTTGTAAGGTTGTAAAAAACTGCAACTAAAATTGAAAGAGAATGTTGACTAGCAAATTTGGTGTCATTGTTTCTGTGAGGTTCACCGGTTCAGGACCTCAACAGCAATCGAATAATTGTTTGCATGAGTTGGGTGATATTACCGAGTGTAGTTCAATTCCGTTGATCGTTAACTTACGGTAATCTACTACCTTCGGTTTCATCGTACAACGGGTGGCCTTCGTTGTGGTATCAGTTATTTAGACCCCACATAATGCTCATGTAAGATTACTATTGAACGTGGGGGTGGGGTATGTTCACTGGTTGTGATACAACATTTCTCAAACCTCCTATATATCAAACACATTTCAGATAGAAGTGGCAGACTAATCCGGTCTCGTTGAGATAGTCGTGGATCATTTGCATCCCGCACCCGTGGATTGTGTTCGCAAGCAATGTCACATGACTTTTCAACGCGAACGCTCATCTTGATGTGCAATCCCGACTGAGTGATTTATTGAGCGCGCTTTCATGGAACCAAGAATGATTGGGTTTTTATTTTTGGATATGAATTTACACAGAATTTAGGATTTGAGAAAAAAAGGTAAAATCAGGTGGAATGGAGAAGAGGTGTACTATCGGAATTCATTTGACCAGACACAATTCTCTCTTTCTCTCTCACTGTCCTCTCTATTCACTTTTTCTTATAGATTTTTCTTGGCTGAACCTCAGAGAAAATGTTTGGACAGAGTTTCATGCTTTCCGCAATTTTCAGTGATTGGCAGCTGCGGTACACAAGTTCTATTCAATTTCATGGTAACAGATCCTTTTTCTCATCGATTGACAGGGGTCAACTCAACGAATCGATCGAATGCACCGGTCCGAGTATTTGCCCAACTGTCGGATACGGGATCTGAGCCCCAGGTAAATTAAATCTTTTTTTGTTGTTGTTTGCGTTATCCGTGCTAAATCATATTGCCCCTAGCTTTGGCATCAAATGACACGCCGTAACACCACCGATTTACCGAAACCTGGATTTTTATGGTGGAGGTGAGGCGCATAGCACAACCAATACATATAATTGATTATGCTTGATCGTCATTCATATATTTACGTACTCATGGCAAGTTCATCCAATCAGTCGTAAACTGGACTAGAGTTTCACTCTTTTTACGAGCTCATCAGTGTTGCATATCTCCGGTTATATGTGACAGACGGGTGTTTGAAAGTGAAAACAAATGTAATGTTCAGATATTAGCCCATTTGGTTTTTCCACAAGCACCGAGTGTGGGGTTTCATATCTTGAGAGATCGTCTGAAGTCCAACCCGAAGGTTCGCTTTTCAAGTCCTGACAGGGACACACAAAAAGGTACGCAATGCTGACGAGTCCCAAGCAGGACAAAACAGCTGTCCAGTGCTGTTTGTCGGTTATCACAAACATTTCCACATGTAATGTTTGTTTGCATGAGCCCCAGATAAATGATCTCTTTAGACAGTTTCCGACACCAAAGTAGCTGTCCACTACAACGACCTGATCAATCAGTAGTCGGTTTCTTTTTAATTGCATGCAAATTCGCACAAAAATACGTTTGAAACACCCAATGTCTGTGAATTTGCATTGGATTAGAACATAGATACTCTCGTATAATATCACTTCTTACGCATTCGGCTCCTTGGATGGGCATCTCGTGATCATGGTAACTGGTGGTGCGAAGAAACACTGAGTGATATGACTGACTGAGTGTCGTGGTTCTCCTGTACCTACTCCTTGTCCCTGCTTCAGTTTCAGATTAAACAACCATTAAGCATGCATCCCGGTGCGACGCTTTTAGTTGTTGTGTTTTGGTTGCCCATTCGGGTGAACCATAGAAGGAAAACAAGATGGTTGAAAGTAGGATCGAAGAGAAAATTGAGAAATTCAGTAAACTAACGATACAGAGAAATTCAGAAAATGCACGAACGCCACTGCTTACGACACCCAGCCATATCACTCAGTGTTTCTAACCGTCGGTTACGACCATCCCCAGGTCCCCAACCATGGAGCCTAACGGTACCTATATGACCCAGTTTCCTGGTTAGGGTTCTCCTACTCTCATGCCAGGTCCTAGCTTGACCACCCTTAGCTTTATTCCACTCATTACCTGCCTCGACAAACATCACTCGCCGTGGCAACCCATTTGGTGACATGCGTAATACATGCCCCAAACAACGTAATCTATGGAGGTCGACCACTTACTCCAGTAGGCGACCGCGGTTGTCTAAAACTTTGCGCCTGACCTCAGCATTGCTCGTCCGGCTGCCCCACCACATTCGTGCAATGCTGCGTACGCAGCGGAGTTCAAACACCGACAGTCTATCTTCATCCTGTTTTCTTAATGGCCAAGTTTTTGCTCCATATAGCAGTATTGGCCGAACTGCTCCTGCATACATTCGACCCTTCACAGACAGCCGGATGTCGCAACGGCGCCTCAGCTGTCTCAAATTAGTAAATGCCAACCGAGCCTTCTGTATGCGAGCAGACATTTCATCCGTGATGCCTCCACCGGGTGAGATGTAGCTGCCCAAATAACAAA